AAAGGAAAGACCATAAGTGAAAGTATGAAAAATAGAAAACACAAAAGCAGTAAAAATAAGTGTATCCATAAAAATCAATCAAGGGATTTACAAAATAAAAAGACATAAAATATGACACCATATACCTAAAAGGGGGGAGAGAGGAGTAAAGAATGAGTTCCAACTTAAGCAACCATCCACTTAATCTACATTGCTATGTGGAGAAAATGTTATATAAAAACCCAATGGAATCCCCCCCCCAAAAACAGTATAAACTATGAAAGAGAGCAAGAGAAGAAAAAAATCAGAGAAAAACTACAAAAACAACCACAAAATAAATAACAAACTGGCAATACATCCATAACTATCAATAATTACTTTGAATATAAATGGACTAAATACTCAAGAAAAAAGACAGAGTGACAGAGAGATAAAAAATAAGATCCATCTATATGCTGTCTACCAGAGACTCATTCTGGAGCTAAAGACACATGCAGATTAAAAGTGAGGGGAGAGAGAAACATTTATCATGCAAATGGATGTCAAAAGTCAGTTGGGGTAGCAATACTTATAACAGACAAAATAGACTTTTAAACAAAGACTGTAATAAGAGACAAAGAAATGCATTATAAAATAATAAAGGGGACAATCCAAGAAGATATAACAAATGTAAATATTTATATACTCAACATGGGAGTACACAAATACATAAAGAAGTTAATAAAAAACTTAAAGGAATTAATTGATAGTAATACAATAATAGTAAGGGACTTCAGTACTCCACTTACATCTGTGGACAGATCATCCAAACAGAAAATCAACAAGGAAACAGTGGCTTTGAATGACATACTGGATTAGATGGACTTAACATTCTATCCTAAAATAGCAAAATACACGTTCTTTTCAAGTCAAGTGCACACAAATATTTTCCAAAATTGATGATGTATTAGGCTATAAAATAAGTCTCAACAAATTAAAAAAACATTTAAGTGATACTATACATCTTTTCTGACCACAATGCTATGAAACTAGAAATCAACCACAAGAAAAAATCTGGAAAGACCACAAATATATGGAGGTTGAATAACCTACTACTAAACAATGAATGGGTCAACCAAGAAATCAAAAAAGAAATGAATAATTACATGGAAACAAACGGAAATAAAAATGAAAGGACCCAAAACTTTGGGATGCAGCAAAAATGGTTTGAAGAGGGAAGTTTATAGCATTACAGGCCTATCTCAAGAAGCTAGAAACAAACAAACAAACCACCTAAACTTACACCTAAAGGAGCTTGAAAAAGAATATCAAACAAAACTTAAACCAGGAGAAAGAAGGAAAGAAGAAAGACTAAGGCAGAAATAAATGATAGAGAAACAAATAAAACAGTAGAAGAGATCAATGAAACCAGGAGCTGTTTTTTTAAAAAAGATCAACAAAATTGATAAACCTCCAGGCAGACTCATCATAAAAACAAAAACAAAAACAAACAAACAAACAAAAGGCAGAAAAAAGAGAGGGGACTCAAACAAAATTACAGGTTAAAGAGGTGAAATAACAACAAACACCACAGGAATACAAACAACTGAATGAGAATATTATGAAAAATTGTATGCCAACAAATTGGACAACCTAGAAGAAATGGATAAGTTCCTAGAAATATATAACCTACCATAACTGAATCAGGAAGAAATAAAAAATTTGAACAGACTGATTAACAGAAATGAAATTAGATCAGTAATTAAAAAACTCCCAACAAACAAAAGTCCAGGGCCAGACAGTTTCAGAGGTGAATTCTCCTAAACATTTAAAGAACAGTTAATATCTAATCTTCTTAAACTACTGAAAAAAATAATAGAAGAGGAAGAAAAACTTCCAAATTCATCCTCTGAGGCCAGCATTACCCTAATACCAATGACAAAGGCACAATAAATAAATAAATAAATAAACAAATAAATCCAAAAAAGTGTATCCATAAAAATCAGTCAAACCCACCCCCTCCCAAAAAAAAAACCAAACAGAATTACAGGCCAAAATCACTGATAAATGTACATGCAAAAGTTCTCAATAAAATACTAGCAAACCAAATCCAATAATACAGTAAGAAAAGCACCATTTACCACGATCAAGTGGAATTTATTCTCAGGATGCAAGGGTGGTCCAGTATTAAAAAATCAATTAACATGATGCATCACATTATAAATGTATAAAAAGTATAAGGGTATACAAAGAGAAAGTACAAAAATCTTTTCAATAGAAGCAGAAAAAGCATTTGACAAAGTACAACATCATGCATGATAAAAACCCTCAACAAAGGAGGTTTAGAGGAGCATACCTTAACACAATAAAGGCTTTGTGGTTTTTTTTTTTAAGATTTTATTTGACAGAGAGAGAGAGATCACAAGTAGGCAGAGAGGCAGGCAGAGAGAAGGGGGAAGCAGGCTCCCCGCTGAGCAGAGAGCCCGATGTGGGGCTCGATCCCAGGACCCTGAGATCCTGACCTGAGCCGAAGGCAGAGGCTTAACCCACTGAGCCACCCAGGTGCCCCACAATAAAGGTTTTAAAAGAAAAACCCAGAGTGACCATCATACTCATTAGGGAAGAACAACTTTTCACATATGGTCAGGAACAAGACAAGGATGTCCACTCTTACCACTTTCATTCAACATAGTACTGGAAGTCCAAGCCATAATAATCAGACAACAAAAAGAAATAAAAGGCATTCAAATTTTTAAGGAAGAAGAAAACTTTCACTATTTGCAGATAACATGATACAATATATAGAAAAGCCTGAAGACTCCACCAAAACACTTACTAGTTCTGATAAATGAATTCAGTAAAGTCACAGTATACAAAATCAGTGTGGAGAAATCTGTTGCATTTCTTTTTTTTTTTCTTGTTTCAAGGTTTTATTTAAACTCTAGTTAGTTAACACACATTTCTATACACTAATAATGAAGCAGATAAAGGATAAATTAAGAAAATTATCCCATCTATAACTGTACCAAAAATAATAAGGTAACTAAGAATAAACTTACCAAAGAAGTGAAAGATCTATACTCTGAAAATTATAAGACACTGACGAAACTGAAAATGACACAAAGAAATGGACAGACATTCCATGCTCATGGATAGGAAAACCAGATATTGTTAAAATGTCTATACTACCCAAAGCAATCTACATGTTAAATGAAATCCTTATTAAGATACCAACAGCATTTTTCACAGAACTAGAACAAGCAATTCTAAAATTTATAGGGAACAAAAAAGACTCCAAAAAGCTAAAGCAATCTTGAAAAGGAAAAGCAAAGTCGGAGACATCACAATTCTGTACTTCAAGCTATACTACAAAGCTGTAGCAATCAAAACAGTACAGTACTGCATAAAAACAGACATATAAATCAATGAAACAAAGTGGAAAACCCAGAAATAAATCTGCAATTATATGGTCAATTATTCTTTGACAAAGGAGGAAGGAATATACAATGGGGACAAAAAAGTCTCTTCAATAAATGGTGGTAGAAAAACTGGACAGCTACATGCAAAAGAATGAAACTGGATGACTTTCTTACACCATACACAATAATAAATTCAAAATGGATCAAAGACCTAAATGTAAGACCTGAAACCATAAAAGTCCTAGAAGAGAGCCCAGGTAGTAATTTCTCTGACACTGGCCATAGCAACATTCGTCTAGATAGGTCTCCTGAGGTAAGGGAAATAAAAACAAAATAAACTATTCAGACTACATCAAAACAAAAAGCTTCTGCACAGTGAAGGAAATAATAAAAAAAAAACTAAAAGGCAATCTGTTGAATGGGAGAAGATGTTTGCAAATGACATATCTGACAAAGGGTTAATATGCAAAATATATGAAGAACTGACAGAACTCAACACCCAAAAAACAAATAATCCAATTAAAAAATGGGCAGAAGACACCAATAGACATTTCTCCAAAGAAGACATCCAGATGGCCAACAGACATGAAAAGATGCTCAACATCACTCATCATCAAGGAAATGAAAATCAAAACTACAATGGGATATCACCTCATACCTGTCAGAATGACTAAAATCAAAAACACAAGAAACAACAGGTATTGGCAAGAATATGGAGAAAAAGAAACCTTCGTGCACTCTTGGTGGGAATGCAAACTGGTGGAGCCACCGTGGAGAATAGTATAGAGGTTCCTCAGAAAGTTAAGTAGAACCATCCTATGACCCAGTAATTGTACTACTGGGTTATTTACCCCCAAAATATGAAAACACTAATTCAAGGGGATACATGCACCCCTATGTTTATTGCTACATTATACATAGTAGCCAAATTATGGAAGCAGCCCAATTGTCCATTGATTTATCAATGGATAAAGAAGATATGGTGTACATATAGAATAGAATATTATTCAGCCACAAAGGGAATGAAATTTTGCCATTTGCAACAACATGGCTAGAGTTCAGAATATCATGCTAAGAAAATAAGTCAGTCAAAGACAATTAACACTTGATTTCACTCATATGTGGAATTTAAGAAACAAAACAAGTGAGCAAAGTGGGAGGAGGGAGCAAATAGAGTGACAAATCAAGAAATAGACTGGTAACTATAGAGAACTAATGGTTACCAGAGGGAATATTGGGTGGGGGAGAGATGGGTGAAATAGAGGGTGGGGATTAAAGAGTACATTTATCATGATGAGCACTAAGTAATGTACAGGACTGTTAAATCACTATACTGTACACCTGGAAATAATATAATACTGAATCTTAACAATACTGGAATTAAAATTTTAAAAAACTTATAAATAAAATTACAGAAAAATAGTACTTTAGGAATCTATACATATGTATATTACATATGTAAAAGACATATATCTTAATTTATATATAAACTTGGTCATAAGATAAATATAGGTTATTGAGATTCTTTCTCTTTATCTGAATTTTTATACAGGAATATAAATTACATTTTAATCAATATTTTTGTTCTAAATGCTGTAAGCAGCGTTAGTGAAAAATTCTTACTTGTAGGCTTCTATGGTTGTTTCATCATTATGAATGTCTTGCTCCATGTTTTGTCTAATTTGTTTAACATTCAATTTGGCATTTTCAACATTTTCTATAGCTTCTTCAAGTTCTTCATGAGTTTGTTTGTATAATTCCATTGCCTAGAAATGAAAACTATTTTTGTTAATACATGGACTTAATGGGTAATTAAAAGAATCAGGCAAGAGAAAAATCAGAGATAGGACTTAAATTTAGGTAGTTTTGATCTAAAGAAAAAGTCCTTTACATCAATTTTCTTCCCATATTATTCTATTAGCACAGTAAATTTTTAGGTTTCCATTAGCCTGAAAAGCATCAATACGAGGGATGCATAAAAGGTATTGAAGAAAAAAGTTCAATATTCCAGGTGATATGAGCAAAACAAAATATTCATTTTTTAACCTACAAAAGAATCGTTACTTATTGTTTTTATTGTTGAAATAATATTTTACTATAGAAAAACCAGAAAACACAGATGAAAAAAATAAGTTAAATCAATTGTAATCCTATCAGGAATAATCATTATTATCTTAATGAAAGGGTCCAAAATATTCCATTTTTATTGTTTTTATTAATTGTCAAATATCATAAACATTCTCCCTTCCCTCTCCATTTCTCCATTCTCTGTCAACCTAGAGAAGAGATGGTTGTAGTCTGGACCTCCTGCTGGAAAGCCTGAGGGAAGGAAGTACAAGGCAGTAGGGAGTGAACAGTCCTCTCCCCAGTGGGTCAATTGGTAGACTGAAATAAAGCAATTGCCTCCTGAAAAAAGCAATAATGTTCATTAATTTTTTGAATAGCACAGGTAGTAGTAACCTCTACAAGATTATCCTTCAGGCATAGGAGTGTAGATGTATACATTTTAGTAGAGAGCAAGAAACACACCAGAATGATGAGCTAAGCAAAGAGAATGTAAGAGAATTCCTAATATCAAATAGACCATGTCCAACTTCTCAGTGCCTTTAGAGGTAACCTGTGGGCATTGCTGGGGTGATGGTCTCATGTTGGGAACCAGGTTACATCATATGAGACAAATTCATCCCCAAGGCAAGCTCTTGAGTTGGGTTTGTGTGGCACTGTTATATACTTCCGCCATTGATACTCCAATTGATGTGGATAATACTCTTGTGGCTCTGTGGCGTTATGAGGCTGGGCTGCTTGCAGAATTTGGAGGCAACATAGAACCTTGGAGCTTGATTTGCAATTATCTTCAATTTGCAAGATATGCACTAGGGCTCAAGCATGCTGACTAGAGGCGTTCAGTCCCTTAAGCAGTTAGTTTTTTTAGCATATCTCTAGCCAGGACCTCAAAACTGAGTCAAGACAGCAGAATAAAATAAAAATAAAATAAAATAAAATAAAATAAAGTTATATGATAAAGGACTATAAATAAAACACTACACTATACTTCCTCTGGCCCCTAGCAATCACTAATCTGTTTTGTTTTATAGATTTATCTGTTCTGGATATTTCATATAAATGAAACTATACAGAATGTGATTTTTTTAAAGATTTATTTATTTGACAAGAGAGAGATCACAAGTAGGCAGAGCAGCAGAGAGAAGGAGAGAGGGAAGCAGGCTCCCTGCTGAGCAAAGAGCCCAAATCAGGGCTCAATCCCAGGACCCTGAGATCATGACCTGAGCCAAAGGCAGAGGCTTAACCCACTGAGCCACCCAGGTGCCCCAAGATGTGATCTTTTGTTTTTAGCTTCTTTTTTAGCATAATGTTTCAAAGTTGATTTATGTTGTGACATATAACAGTATTTCATTTTTTAAAATTTCTTCCTATGGTATAGATATATCACATTTTATTTAGTAATTAATCAGGTGATGGACATCGGGTTGTTTCCACCTTGGGTTAATACAAACACTGCTGCCATGAACATTTATGTACATTTGCTTTTGTTTCTTGGTCATCAGTTTTCAGTTCTTTGGAGTATATATCTCAGAGTATAATTCCTAGAGCATATGGTATTCTGTGTTGAACTCTTTGAGGAAAAGCAAGCATCTTTTCCACAGCATCTGCAACCATTTTACATTCTCACCAGCAAGGTGCCAGAGTTCCAATTTCTTCACATAGACACTAAAACTTGTTATTTTCTGTTTTATATTTATTCCCATCCTAATCGCTGTAAATGGTATCTCGCTGTAGTTTTGGTTTGCATTTCCCTAATGACTAATGATGTTGAGCATCTATCTTGTTAAATGTTTGTTGCTTAAATATCAAAAGTTGTTGGGAGTTGTGAACACTTGATTACTATAGGATCATGGGTTGCTGTGCAGTAATACTTCATTGCTAGTTTAACCAAAGTGACAATAAAATATTTTTTAAAGTAATATGATTTTTAAGAACCACAGTCTTTCCTAAGTGAGGAACTTCTGTTTACTTAAATAATCAAGGATATAATAAAATAAATATAAAGCATAGAGAGTTATTTTAGTAGGACAAAGAATCTCTGTAATCTGGGCAGATGACACAGGGAAACGTGTATCTTTAATAGCTTCTTTTAAGGGCAAATCAATAGTCCAAAATTATGTATTTATTTTAACAGATAGAAAACCAGATTCTAGTTTTGCATTAGTATAATATTTGATATTAATGCTCTTCTTGAAAGTCTTATAAATAAACACATCAGACAATGGCCACCTTTGATAATAAATAAAATTGTCTTTTCACAAACCAAAAAAAAAAAAAAGTTTGTTGCCTATTTGTATGTGTTTGGGGATATATCTATTCAAGTCCTTTGCCCATTTTTAACTTGGCTATTTGTCTTGGGTTGTTGAATTTAAAAAGTTCTTTATATATTCTAGGTACCATACCCTTCTGAAATGTATAATTTGCAATATTTTCTCTCATTCTATAGGTACTTTTCCGATAGTATCTTTTTTACTTTTTTTCATTGACACACAGTTTTCTGACAGTATCTTTTTTACTTTTTCTCATTGACACACAGTTGACACAAAAATTAGTTTCAGAAGTACAAGACAGTGATTCAACAAATCCCATACATTACACTGTGCTCACCCCAAGTGTAGCTACCATCTGTCACCATATAACACTAATACAGTATCATTGACTATATTGCCTAATCTGTACCTTTTAAAAAAAAAGTTATTTATCTGAGAGAGAGAGAGAGAGAGAGAGATAAAGCATGAGATGGGCAGAGGGCGAGGAAGAGAGAATCTCAAGCAGACTCTGCACTTAGTGTGGAGCTTGACACAGGGCTCAATCTCACAAACCCGAGATCACCACCTGAGCCAAAATCAAGAGTCGGACACTTAACTGACTGGGCTATCCAGGTGCCCTTGTTATGCTACACCTTTTATCCCAGTGGCTTATTTATTCCATAACTAGAAGCTTGTACCTCCCATTCCTCTTCATCCATTTGCCTATCCATCCACTTCCTCCCCTGGCAAACATCATTTTGTTCTCTGTATTTATAGGTCTATCCCTAATTTTTGTTTTTCAGATTCTACACATAAGTGAAATCATATAGTATTTGTCTCTGATTGATTTATTTCACTTAGCATTATATCCTCTAGAGGTCCATCCATGTTTGCACAAATGGCAAGATTTTGTCATATTTTATAGTGGAGTAATATTCTATTGTATATATATATATATATATACATACATATATATATATATATATATATACACCACATCTTCTTTATCCATTCACCTGTCGATGGACACTGATGTTGTTTCCATATCTTGGCTTTTGTAAAAATGCTGCAATAAAAAAAGGGGTACATATATCTTTTCAAATTAGTGGTTTTGTTTTATTTGGGTAAAACCCCAATAGTGGAATTACTGGATCATATGGCATTTCTATTTTTAATTTTTTGAGGAACCTCCATACTGTTTTCCACCATGGCTGCATCAACTTACATTCCCACAACAGTGCATGAGGGTTCTTTTTTTTTCCATATCCTTGCCAACACTTGCTACTTTTTGTCTTGTTGTTTCTAGCTATTCCGAAAGGTGTAAGGTGATATCTCATTGTGGTTTTGATTGGTTTTGATGATTGAGATGTTAACCATCTTTTCACATATCTTTTCTTCTTTGGAAAAATGTATTTTCAGGTCCTCTGCCCATCTTTTAATTGTATTACTTATTTTTTGGTATTATGTAAGTTCTGTACATATTTTGGATATTAACTTTTTATCAGATATTGATAGTGTCCTTTGGCACATAAAAGGTTTTCATTTTTTTATTGAGGTACAATTAATATATAATAATTTCAGGCATAAAACATAATGATTCAATATTTCTATATATTGTGAAATTATCACCACAGTGAGTCTAGTTAACATCCATTGCCATACATAGCTAGAATTTTTTTCTTGTGATGAGAACTTTTAAGATGTACTGTCTTAGCAACTTTCAAATATATAATACAATAGTACTAACAATAGTCAACATGCTGTACATTAAATCCTCATGACTTACATATTTAATAAATAGAAGATTGTACTTTTTGACTCCCTTTCCAGTCATTTTCTAAACCCTCCATCAGGCAACCACCAATCTGTTCTATCCATGAAATTTTTTTTATTTGTTTTTTTCTTTTGATTCCACATATAAGTGAGATCACATGGTATTTGTGTTCCTCTGTCTAACTTACTTAACATAATGTCCTCAAGGTCCATCCCTGTTGTAAATGGCAAGATTTCACTCTTTTTTTTGAGTAATATTCCATTATGTGTGTGTGTGTGTGTTTGTGTATGTGTGTGTGTGTGTGTGTGTGTGTGTATATATATATATAATACATATCACTAATATATATACACATATATGTGTGTATATACACACACACATACACACACACACACCCATACCACATCTTCTTTATCCATTCATCCATTGATGGACACTTAGGTTGTTTCAATATCTTGGCTATGGTAAATAACGCAGCAATGAACATGGGGGAGCACACATCTTTTCAATTTGTGTTTTTTCTTCTAATAAGTATCCAGAAGTGGAACTGCTGAGTCATACAACAGTTCCATTTTAATTTTCTGAGAAACCTCCATTCTGCTTTCCACAGTTGTTGTGCCAATTCACATATTCAGCATACAAGGGTTCCTTTTTCTCTAACATTTTTGCCAACACTTTTTACTTCTTGTCTTTTTGATAATAGCCATTCTGACAAGTATGAGATGATCTCTCACTGTGGTTTCAATTTGCATTCCCTGATGATTAGTGATATTGACAACCTTTTCATGTACTTGTTGGTTATCTGTATTTCATCTTTGGAAAAATACCTATTCAGATCTTCAGCCCAATTTTAAGTCATATTGTTTTATTTTGGTGTTGGGTTGTATGAAGTTCTTTATTTCAGATATTAACCCCTTATCAGATATATGATTTGCAAATATTTTCTCCCATTCAGTAAACTATCTTTCATTTTGTTAATGTTTCCTCTTGCCATGCAGAAGATTTTTAGACAGATGTATCCCCACTTGTTTATTTTTGCTTTTGTTAGCTTTATTTTTGGTGTCAAATCCAAAACAGCAAGTAAAATGAATGAACAGTAATTTGACCTCTAAAACAATGTCAGATTAAAAAAAAACAACTTGCAGAAACTTTTACAATGGTTGATACTATTTGAAAAACAAAAAAGAAACCATGCATTGTGCTTAAATATGTATATATAAATATACAAAATTCACCTCAAAACAGATTTTCCTGATAAGGTTATTTTTGGAGAGTGAGGAAGGAAAATGGAATCGCTGAGAATATAGGACACACTTAACAACTCTATTTACTTTAAAATAATAAAAAATAAATATGAGTTAAATCTGTTCATTTGGCGGCAGGTATAAGTAATTTATTTTTCTATAACACAATTCCACAATAGGAGAGTTAAATGTTAATTAATCATTGAAAAGATTTTATAGTTTATTATCATCAACAATAAAATTGACTGATATATTCTGCTTGCATTCTCTCCCAGTTTGATTTAAAACTTCAAAAATTATCATGTTGTTCTAAATCTCCAAAATTCTATTAGTAGGTTGACTATTAATACTCCTAAGTATAAAACAGAAGATGACACAGTTTAAATGAATATCAATTGATTGTATTATGTGTAGTTTAATAGTTCCTTTAGGAAATTAATAGTAGGTTAATTTTCAGTGAAAATGAAACATTTAAAGATATTAATTTCTTACAGCTGAAATATTTTGTACAACTAAGTAACACTCTATAAAATGCATATCCATTCGTTTATTCATTTACCTCAAATTTCTTTGTTTGAAATTCTTTCAGAGCTTCAAGTTCTTGGTTCTGTTTTGAGTTAATTAGAGGACCAAATTTATTCATGTAGTCTATGTCTGCTTGAAGCTTTGCATTAACTTCTTCTAATTTTGCCTTTTGCTCCTCAAAATGTTTCAGTTGATAAGCTTTATCTTCAAGATGCCATTGTAATTCTACAATATCTCCCAAATAGGCTTCATGTTCTAGACATACAATAATAACAAAAGAAAATCTGATTTTAAAACAAGAACTCCAGAAAGAAACCTTTATTTGATAATAGAGACATATGAAATATCTTGGATTCAGAAATTACTTATCCATGAAGCTTACTAAATTTAATATGTTATCTTAGTAGTGCATTATAAAATATATTGCTTTCATCATTTATCATCAAAGGGATTAAAATATATGTTTTATAAGCTAAAAAGTGTTCTAGTATGAATCTTGCCTATTACAACCAATCTATATACTGGGTTATGTATAACTATTCTATGAACTACAAAATGAGAAAAACTGCAAGAGTGGAGGCCTTCTAAAATTATCTAGAAGTAAAATGATGTGATAGGAGTTATAAATGTCAGAAAGGAAAAGGAAAAAATAATTACTATTTTCTGTTGATACAATTATATATCAAAACACAAAAAAATAAATTGAAAATTGTTACAAATAGGATAGCTTATATTAAAAAATGCTTATTGTTGTAAGCCACTGAGTTCCAAGGTGATTTGTTACAAATCATTATTGTAGTAAATAACATTAATTCACATGACTAAATGCAAACCAAAATTAGAAGATTTAACATTGTGTTATTGCTAAGGTCTTCTTCCATAGTAGAAGAACCTTGTGAGCATTTCTATGGGACACAACTGTCTTCACACTCCATCCTCTCTGAAAGATCAATCCCCAGAACACTCTCCTAAACTCCCTTTCACCAGTCTCAACATTCATGTTCTTTCCAACTCCGATTATGCTATCCTTTTTGCTACTTCCCATTTGCATCCCAGGACTTTACTCCTTCAAGGTAATCTGTCTTCACCCTTCCTATATTGAGATTGTAAAACAGCAGCTCCTCAAATTGTGTCAACATACCATTCAAATACATAAACCAGTACTTAAACCAGTCTGCGATTTTTTTTTTCTCTTCCTTTAGGTAATCAATCATTGGGAAGTGCCCATGGACCCATGAATGTAGACTAAGGGAAAGACAGGGAATCTAAAGAAGCAGGTACAATGAAGAGTACCAGGGAAATCTGAGTCATTAGTTTATTTGGGCCTTCAGATGCTGCTTGGGTATAATAAATGTACATACTCTTATGTTGTAAGGAAACACAGCTGTGCATATCTAATTCTATATTTTTTAAGCTTATGCAACACCCAATTTCTGATGAAAAACTTACTTCTGATTATCTTTTTTGAGAGGAAAAATAAAAAGACATTTGCTAGATTATTGGCTGCATGTTGGGTGCCAATGGCTGTCATTCTGTGGGGGAGAGGGGAATGCAGTAGCCAAGTAGAAAGGAAAGTAGTCAAGGGTATAAAACCCCACCCTCACTCTTTTCCATTATCTTCCATGGTCTCTTGCCACTAATTCCAAATGGTTGAACCAGCAGGAGGACAGATTACAAAAGATATGTTTGATGCAGTCCATTATCAATCAGACTCATGGATCACAAAACAGAAGATACAAGTGTGAGTGGGCTGGTTAGGGGGATGAATGGATCTGGAGGACTGACCACAAGATATCTAAGAAAAAATGGAATTTCATTAATTAATGAATTAATGAAATTAATTAATTTCATTAATTATAAATGTAAGTTTTTTACAAAAATTATTTTAAAATTCTATAAACATCAAACTTAATATTAAGGCTGCTATGGAGATTAAGCATTTTTCTTGTCACATAAGCTAGAGACTTTGAGAATCCAAAATCTTTAAGAATATATACTTCTGTAACCTGTAAAAAAATTTCTAAATTTTATATTTAATATAAATATAAATATATTTTTAATATATTTAATATAAATATAAATATAAATATAATTTTATATTTAATAATTTAGAAATTATATCCTAAATGTATCAATATAAAGGCAATATATTCCTGAAAGCACACTACTTTTCAGGAATATTTTACAAACAGAAGGTACCTAAAAACTATATAGTAAAAATGAATTTAAATTTCATTACATGTGTTAGCTACTTAAAATAAAGCAGATGAAAATAAATTTCAGTTTTGTAAGTAGATCTTTAAGTTTTTTAAAAGATCTTTAAATAGATTTTTTTTTAAAAGATTTCATTTATTTGACAGAGAGAGACAGCAAGAGAGAGAACATAAGCAGGGGGAGTGGGAGAGGGAGACCCAGGCTTCCCGCTGAGCAAGGAGCCCAATGCAGGGCTTGATATGGGGCTCGATCCCAGGACCTTGGGATCATGACCTGAGCTGAAGGCAGATGCTTACCTGACTGAGCCACCAAGGTGTCCCTAAAGATCTTTAAATAGATCTTTAAATAAAAGACAGCTCAAGTAATAAATTATCACCAATGGCAAGAATGTATTCCATCACTGAAATGCATTTATAAGGTACGGAAAATGTGCATGTACGTATCTCAATTTAATTTTATTTTGGCAATTCCTTAAGTAGAACTTCATACAACCACAAACTATAATATCTTCTCTTATAAAGGCCATATGAGATTATATAGAAAATTATTAGCAAAATACTAAATAAAACCAGCTACACCGACTATTCTACTACCACTGACAAGGAAAGGCTTCCCAAACATTTTAAAAAATTGCAAGGGTGTCTGGGTGGCACAGTTGGTTAAGTGTCTGACTCTTGGTTCCAGCTCAGGTTGTGGTCTCAGCATTGTAAGATCCAGCTCTGCCTTGGGCTCCATTCGGCGTGGAGTCTGATTCTCTCTCCAGTTCCTTCAGCCCCTCTCATGCTCTCTCTCTCTCAAATAAACACATAAATCTTTAAAAAAAAACAAAACTCCAGATGACTCCTTGTGAATGTGAATGTGAATCTGCTCAAGAATCTACTGGGTTCCAGAATTTCCCAGGATGCCTATTCTGACCCTATTGTACATTTGGTTGCCTCTAACACCAATATGTATGTAAGTATGTATTTATAAATTATACACTTACGTTCTTGTATTAGTAGAGTATGCACATCATAAATTCTATTCAAAAACCTTGTGAATCAGAACAAACTCACTCCAAGCCTGAATTATTTACTTTTATAAATAGCTATAGAAACCAAATGTTTTGTAAAATGCACACTTTAAAGTGTGGGTAGAAAAAGGCCTACTCTTACCTGAGTTTAGAGCACTTTTTGCGTAATTTTTAGAATTAACTCTTCAGTAAAGGGCAACAAAGAGCATAGACAGGGGCAGAATTAAAATCATCCAGTCTAGGCTCTGGGCAATTTCCTGCTTCTTGAGTTCTGCTTCAGAAGGGAGTGAACAAAGGGTGAGTTCAGTCTGTGAGCTCAGTATTAATTTAAAAGGAATAAACAGTCACTGAACCCATACTTAATTTATTTTATTGAAATAACAGAATCGAGGAACCACTGGGAAACTCTACTTTGTCAGGTACAATAATGGCAAAATTAAAACCCCAATAACCAAGAAAGTAAATAAAAATAACAAAGTTTATAAATATAAAAGTTCTAATGTTTTCTTGCAACTCCCTAAAATGTGCACACTCTACTTGGAAACTATAGTTTTAGAAGACATATAACAAAGGTATATGTAAGTGTTCAGTTTGACAAATAATTTAATGTCTCAGGGTAAAACAGCCTCCCTTTTCCTCTCAAAAGTGTCTTAGTTTAAATGATAGGTTTATAAGCACCCTAATATAACCGTTTATAAATCATGTGAATCCAGAATTACAATTTCTAACTGAATTAAAAGTTATTTATAAACAAAGTCTAGCCTCAGTAGAATCATGTAGTAGGCATGCTTAATAAGCAGTGTTTGGAGAATAAAAAATCCAATACCTTTAGACTGTTTAATACTTTACCATAGGTCTCTTATTCTGTGGTCTAAAAAACCTAGTATTTCCTTTTGAAACATCTCCAGCTTTATTGTCTGCTAGAAGTTCTCAAGAAGATCTACTACTGAATTCTCAAAAGCAGATGCATGTTGCTAAAATATCATTTTAAAACTCTTTTATTTTCCTAGATTTAAAGATTTGGTCAATGACACCAATTGGAAATCACTTAAATTTCTAAGTTTCAAGTACTCAAATAATGTAGTCATCATAGGAAATATGTGCCAAAAGTTTAAATGTCCCACAGGCACCATAAATGCTATGGAATTATCAACAAACACCAAACTACAGAAGGTCCAGGTTTACTCACTGCAGTCCCAGCTACATAAATGTTACCAGCATTATCATTAATAGCATTTATCAAAAGTACACTGTTTGGATGCAAAACAATATGGTCAGAGTTGACTTTTTTCCAAAGCTTCAATTGATTATTCATGCCTCTCAAACAAAACAAATGGCAATATGAAAAAAATCTTATTATTACCTTTCTGCACAGCTAATGGAATTTCTTGAAGTCTCCAGATTGACCAAGAATCAATTTTCATGTGAATCTTTTTCTTTCTTGATTTTTGTTGTTTTAAAGCTTCTTCAGCTTCTGCACGGTCAGTTTCTAGACTTTTAATGAGATGAATGGCCTCTGAGAGCAATGTTTCCATTTCCTGCTTCAATTCTGGACACTTTTCATCTTAAAATAGAAATATATATTCACATTTGTTAATAAATCAGCCTATAAACTAGGTGGTGGGAACATAGGTACTAATGGTATCATTTTCCTTTTTTAATATTTATATGTTTAATAAGAGAATTTTAGAAAAATGAATTAGCCTTTTAAAGAGTTTTATTATAATAAAATCATAACATTAATTATAACTTTTGAAGACAGATTTTGAAGTGAACACTTTGTAAAATAGTTAGAATAGAGGAATCTCAAGCAATATCTCCTTGTATATTTTATCTAAAAATGTTTTTTTCATAAGCTATATTATAGAACTTTATTTTTAAATCATTCTTGTATTTCCTCTCATTCTATGACAAAAGCAAATCATAATGATTACATCAGCTAAATACTGAAAATCCTCAGATGATTCCTAGAAACATGATACTTTATATTCCTTATCAGATAATAACAACCTTAGTTAGCCCTGCCAGGAATTCATTGTTTCCAAATTCCATTTATTTAGTTATAACACAAATTGACTCCTGTAATGAGAGAAATTTGTGATTACTGGTTCACAGCTCTGAAAAGATATGGTTTAACGTTAACAAAATGATTAACATGGATATTCATTCACCTATTTATACTAGAAACACGCAGAGAGCTTGTTATGTTCTGGGCAATACACTCTCTCCCTAGAGATAGATCAGTAAGGAAGATGGATATGGGTTCCACTCTGGTGAGATTTATACTTGTAAACAGTGACTTTTGCCAAAATGTGACATGACAAGAAGACATAAACAAACACAAAATGTCGAGAAAGACAAAGAGCTGAGTCTAGAAGAAAAACAGTAAAACAGGTTCAAAACAAAGGCAACTAATAGACCTCTGCTTTGTTTTGTTTTGATTTGGACAATAAAGCAATAATTTTCTGCTAGAAGATATTACATATTGGTTATAAGTGTAAGCTCAGTAGTCCCAGTTTCTATTTCTAACCTAGTAAGCCTATCAAAGAAATTCAGCATGCTGCCTGAAAAGAATTCTTGAGAAACAGGTCTCTCTATTGTAATGCATAAAAATTATCGTTTATGGACTGGCCCTTGATTTGGCCTCTCTTTATTTGGTCTATGTCTTCTTTTTCCAGAATCTACCACATCCTGGACATTTTACATCCTTAATTGTCTGTTTTTTTCATAACAATATACACAGTGAACACTGTGTTCTCCAGCCAACTTATGCTCTATTCAGTTTCTATAAAGAGAGTCTGAAATGTTTAATTAAATTAATGCCACTTAAATCACTTCTGATGCGATAAAAATGTTTACCAAAGACATCCATCATGTTTGTACACAATCTTCTGTAGTGTTTTTATGATAGCATTCTAAAATAGATGCTGTGTTTATAACTTCAGATGCCTCCAATTCATTGTATTGAATCTCTCAATGTTTTTCTAGAATATCATCTCAATTAGTTTTACTATTTCATATTGAGTAGGTGAGTAACCTCCTGTAATTTTTTTAGCACAAACATTTAATTATAATAAATCTTGTCAACCTGATACTGTCTTGCACTTTGGGATCACATGTATGAGTTTACAATAAACATAACTGCAGTTAATTTAACTGTTATTATGTCCATTAACATATTAATCTTCTCCTAGCATTTGTCATGTGAAAAATTAAGCGTCTGGCTCTGCGCTCAGTGACAAATCTGCTTAAAGATTTTCTCCCTCTGCCCCTCCCTCTCTGCTCTCTCTCTCTCAAATAAATAAATAAATAAATAAACAAATCTTTCTTTTAGTTTTTCTTTCTTTTTTTTTTTTAAGATTTTATTTATTTATTTGACAGAGACAGAGATCACTAGTCAGAGAGGCAGGCAGAGAGAGAGGAGGAAGCAGGCTCCCTGCTGAGCAGAGAGCCGGATGCGGGGCTCGATCCCAGGACCCTGAGATCATGCCCTGAGCCAAAGGCAGAGGCTTTAACCCACTGAGCCACCCAGGCCCCTAAAGTATGTTTTTTATGAGGTGCCTGGGTGGCTCAGTGGGTTAAAGCCTCTGCCTTTGGCTCAGGTCATGGTCCCAGAGTCCTGGGATCGAGCCCCGCATCGGGCTCTCTGCTCAGCACGGAGCCTGCTTCCTCCTCTCTCTCTGCCTGCCTCTCTGACTACTTTTGATCTCTCTGTCTCTGTCATATAAATAAATAAAATCTTAAAAAAAAAAGAAAACTATATATATGCAATATATATATATATACATTATATATATTATAATGTATATATATTATATATAAAGCACATGTATTAATCTTAATTTATACATATATAAATATTACATACAAAATATAAATATAGTAGAGCTTCCATGTCCAGTGTGGTAGTCATGAATCCCATGTGATTATTTACATTTAAAAAGTGTTAAAATTAAACTGAAAAATTAAATTCTCAGACTTCCTAACTACATTTCAAGCAGATATTATATATGGCTACCAGATGGTAGAAACAGAGAACACTTTGATTATCCCAGAAAGCACGACTAGACAGCACTGAATTACAGTTAACTTCTTGGGAGGTAGAGAGGGATCATTATATACTCAGGACCCAGACCAGTATACATTATATTAAATATTTGTTGAATTTTGTTGTTTAATTAAACAATATAGAAGGCTCTTTCCTCTATTAGATATTCACAAGAATTATAAAACTCTTAAAAATGATTATTGTAAAAATTAAAAATATGTTAAATGAAAAGTCAATGAGCTTTTAAATATAACTTCATTTATTTAAGTATGAGGTACAACTTTACCTCTCTCTTCTGGTTTAACCTCTTTCACTGGTGTAGCAATACTCCAGTCTTCCTTCTGGTCTTGTGTGGAAGAAGTTCTGCTCCTATATAAAGGGAAAGAAGCAATCAATTAATAAAGAACTACTATACTTAAAGTTTAAAGTTATTAAAGCAAATTTTAGGTGATCCTCTCACATTAAATTTTAAATGTTTATGGTAGAACTTACTATACATGCTAATGCTATTATACAAGAAAATAATATAGCAAAATTCTAATATGTAATGGGCTTTACATTTCATGGGAAATTAACAGAAACTCAAAATTTGTTACAAATGACCTAAAAATATTTGAGAGGATATTAAAGAAGTTTTTTTTTGTTTTTGTTTTGTTCTGTTTTTAAGATTTTATTTATTTGTTTGTTTATTTTATTTATTTATTTATTTGTTAGAGAGAGAGAGAGAGAGAGCATGAGCACAGGCACACAGAGTGGTAGACAGAGGCAGAGGGAGAAGCAGGCTCCCTGCTGAGCAAGGAGCCCATGTAGGACTTGATCCCAGGAAGCTGGGATCATGACCTTAGCCGAAGGCAGCCGCTTAACCCACTGAGCCACCCCGGTGTCCCTGTTTTTGTTTTTAAGAAAATGAATTGGTCTTCCCTAGATAGTGTTGCTATCAGAAAAAGGGGTTTAATTGAGAATAATTTGAGAGCTATTTCTCTAACTTCAGTACAGAAGTTTGGGGTACAATATAAAATCCAAGGACCAAAAACGCTTTTTCAGATTTGAAATTTTTTTTAAAGATTTTATTTATTTATTTGACAGAGAGAAAGACATCACAAGTAGGCAGAGAGGCTGGCAGAGGGAGAGAGGGAAGCAGGCTCCCTGCTGAGCAGAGAGCCCTATGCAGGGCTTGACCCCAGGATCCTGGGACCATGACCTGAGCTGAAGGCAGAGGCTCAACCCACTGAGCCACCCAGACACCCCCAGATCTGAAATTAATAACATTTTAGCAAAATATCCAAATTAAAGTGTTATTTTTTTCTAAAGAATTTTTCTAGGGGCATCTGTGTTAAGCATCTACCTTGGGCCCAGGTCTTGATCTCAGGGTCCTGGTATCCAGCCCTGTGTCAGGCTCACTTAGCAGAGAGTCTGTTTCTCCCTCTCCCTCTGCTCCTCCTCCCCAGCCCATTCTTCATGTACTTGTGCATGTTCTCTCTCTCTCAAATAAATAAATAAATAAATAAATAAATATCTTTAAAATTGTTTTAAAAAATTGTTCTTAAGTTTTCATATTTAAAAAGAAGCATTTTTCCTCTGATAAATGTTATCAGAAAAAAAGTATCAACAACAAAGCAGGTAGTGATATTTTCCTTAAGTTATTATTTTTTCTTATTAAAGAAGCATTACAAATTAAAAAAAGTTTATACATACCAAAAATCATATTATAAAATAATCCATATTAATTACTCTTCTTAGCTAACAGAACACTCTGATATTTTAATTTTTATAAAATTAGTCATAAAATATTGCATGCTGCTTTAGCTATATGACATTGTTTCCTATATATTTGACTATAGTTTAATATTTCTGATGACTGCATACTATTTATCTCATTGTTGTTCCACAATTTATTTAGAAAAACTTGTTTATTATGAGGTCAGGGCAATATTCATCATCTTTTCTCCATTAGTTTCAACTTCATTTTTAAATATTTTTGTTAAATAATCTAATATTTTTTTCTTGCTTGTTTGAAAACTAAAAAAAGTTGAATCAGTAGATTGCACACTTGAAGCTAATTAAGATTGTGTCAACTATACTCAAAAATTAAAAATAAAAGAAACATTCACACCATTAAAAAATAAATAAATAAATAATAAAAACATGAGGGTTGCTGGAGGAGGCAAGAGCACTTTATGTAAGGTGCAGTGGGTGTATATGCAATTGATGAATCACTAAATTCCATTTCTGAAACTAATAAAGAAAATAATAAAAATTGTTGCACATAATTGAATCCATTTTGTGTATTTTTTTCTAAAATTTAGTTAATTTTTGGACCAGCAAAATCATCTTGATTCTTTTTTTTTTAATTTTATTTTTTTTATTTGAGAGAGAGAAGGAACAGGAACAGGAGGAGGGGAAGAGGGAGAGGAAAAAGGACTCCCTGATGAGCAGGAAACCTGACATGGGACTTGATCCCAGCACCCTGGGATCATGACCTGAGCTGAAGGCAGATGCTTAATTGACTGAGCCACCCAAGTGACCAATTCTTATTTTTTTTTAATTGAGGCAAAAGTCCCATAACACAAAATTAACCATTTGAAAGCGTAAACTTCAATGGCATTTACTACACTCAATGTTGTGACTATCATCACCAGCTAGTGCCAAAACATGTTTATTACCTTAGAAGAACTGCCCCTCATTGTTTTTTTTAATATATGGAATGCTTCATGAATTTGTGTGTCATCCTTGCAGAGGGGCCATGCTAATCTTTGTATCGTACCAATTTTAGTATATGTGCTGCTAAGTAAGCCTCATATTTATTAAACAATCTCTCCCCTCTCCTTCTTTCTACCAGCCTCTGGCAAGAATCAATGTGCTTCCCATCTCTATGATTTACCCGTTATAGATATTTCGTGTAAATGGAATCATGCAACAAGTAACCTTTTGTATTTGGTTTCTTTAACTTAGCATGGTGGTTTAGAAGTTTACCCACATTACAGCATCTATCAAAATTTTATTACTTTTTATGGCTGAATAATATTCCATTGTATAGCTATACCACCCTTTATTTATACATTAGTCTACTAAAAAAATGTTTTACTTAAATTCAATTAGCCAACATATAGTACATCATTAGTTTCACACGTAGTGTTCAATAGTGCATCAGTTGCTTATAACACCCAGTGCTCATCACATCACATATCCTCCTTAATGCCCATCACCCAATTACCCTATTCCCCACCAACCACCCCTCCAGCAACCCCGTTTGTTTCCTATAGTTAAAGAGTTTTTCATGGTTTTTCTCCCTCTCTGAGACTTCCCAATAAGTTTTCCCTCCCTTCTCTTATGGTCCTCTGCACTGTTTCTTATATTCCACATATGAGTGAAACCGCATGATAATTGTCTTTCTCTGACTTATTTCACTCAGCGTAATACCTTCCAGTTCCATCCATGTTCATGTAAATTGTAAGTTATCATTCCTTCTGATTGCTGAGTAATATTCCAGTGTGCGTGTGTGTGTGTGACTGTGTGCGCGTGCACGTGCGTGCGCACACACGCGTGTACCCATTCATCTGTCAAAGGACATCTCAGCTCTTTCCACAGTTTGGCTATTGTGGACGTTGCTGTTATGAACATTGAGGTGGATATGTCTCTTCAGATCAACACATTTGTATCTTTGGGGTAAATACTTAGTAGTGTAATTGCTCAGCCACAGGGCAACTCTACTTTTAACTTTTTCAGGAACCTCATACTGTTTTCCAGAGTACCTGTACCAGCTTGCATTCCCACCAACAGTGTAAGAGCGTTCCCCTTTCTCCACATCCTTGCCAACATTTGTTAATTCCTGTCTTGTTAATTTTAGCCATTCTGACTGGTATGAAGTAATATCTCATTGTGTTTTTGACTTGTATTTCCCTGATGGTTGAGTGATGTTGAGCACTTTCTCATGTGTCTCTTGGCCATTTGGATGTCTTCTTTGCAGAAATGTCTGTTCATGTCTTCTGCCTATTTCTTGACTGGATTATTTGGTTTTCGGGTGTTGAATTGGATAAGTTTTTTATAGATCTTGGATATTAGCCCTTTTTCTTATATGTTTTTTGCAATTATCTTCTCCCATTCTGTAGGTTGCCTTTTATTTTGTTGACTGTTTCCTTTGCTGTGCAGAAGCTTTTGAGCTTAATAAAGTCCCAAAAGTTCATTTTCACTTTTGTTTCCCTTGCCTTTAGAGACATGTCCACCAAGAAGTTTCTGCGGCTGATGTCAAAGAAGTAGCTGCCTTTGTTCTCCTCTAGGATTTTGATGGATTCTTGTCACACATTGAGGTCTTTCATCCATTTTGAGTTTATCTTTGTGTATGGTGTAAGATAATGGTCCAGTTTCATTCTTCTACATGTGGCTGTCGAACTTTCCCAGCACCATTTGTTGAAGAGACTGTCATTTTTGCATTGGATATTCTTTCCTGCTTTGTCAAAGATTAGTTGACCACAGAGTTGAGGGCCCATTTCTGGGATCTCTATTCTGTTCCACTGATCTGCATATTTGTTTTTGTGCCAGCACCATACTGTCTTGATGATCACAGCTTTGTAATAGAGCTTGAAGTCAGGCAGTGTGAAACCCCCAGCTTTGGTTTTCTTTTTCAACATTTCTCTAGCTATTCAGGGTCTTTTCTGGTTCCATACAAATTTTAGTATTATTTGTTCCAGCTCTGCGAAAAATGTTGTGTTATTTTGATAGGGATTGCACAGAATATGTAGATTGCTCTGGGTAGCATAAACATTGTAACAGTATTTTTTCTTCCAATCCATGAGCATGGAATGTGTTTCCATTTCTTTGTGTCTTCCTCAATTTCTTTCATATGTGTTCTGTAGCTTTTAGAATACAGATCCTTTATCTCTTTAATTAGGTTTATTCCTATGTATTTTATGATTTTTCAGTGCAATTGTAAATGGGATCGATTCCTTAATTTCTCTTTCTTTCAGCTCATTGTTAGTGTGGATATATGCAATTGATTTCTGCACATTGATTTTATATCCTGCCATGTTGCTTAATTCTTATATGAGTTCTAGCAACTTGGGGTGGAGTCTTGGATTTTCCACATAAAGTTTCATGTCATTTCCAAGGAGTCAAAGTTTGACTGCTTCTTTGCCAATCTGAATGCCTTCTATTTCTTTTTGTTGTCTGATTGCTGAGGCTAGGACTGTTGAACAATAGTGGAGAGGGTGGGCAACCCTGTCGTGTTCCTGACCTTAGGGGAAAAGCTCTCAGTTTTTCTCCATTGAGAATGATATTCGCTGTGGGCTTTTCATAGATGGCTTTTATAATATTGAAGTATGTTCCCTCTATCCCTACACTGTGGAGAGTTTTAATCAAAGAAGGATGCTGTA